AAGGAATCTGAATCCAACCTGAATGTGGTTTTTTTCCTCATGGATGGGAAGAGCTCTCCCTGCTTTCCCTGGGGATTTCATGGCTGCAGGTGGATCGAGGTTTCCCAGGTTTTTGTAGCAAAGCTGTTCCAACTGGAATTTTTCCCTCTGTTCCACAGGATCTCCCCAGGCTGGTTTGGGTGGAAAAAAAAAAAACAAAAAACCAACTTAAAAATCCATCGAATTCCAGCCCCTCGAGGCTGCTCCAAGCCCCATCCTGGGACAATCCCAGGGACAGGGCAGGATTTCTTTTTCATGGAGAAACCCCTCCCAATCCTTACCTGATTGCTTAAAGGCGTGAAAAACATTTTTAGGAGTTGAAAAGCTGCAGGAAAGACTTTTTAGGAGGAAAAAAAAAAAAAAAGAAAAAAAAAGAAAAAGCAAATCCCAAAAAACAGGGTTGGAATTTTGGGTGGGGGGGGACACAACCCCGCTCACCTCGAGGAAGATTTTTTGGGTTTGAAAAGACTTGGAAAAATGCCCAAGTGTTGGTCTGGGTGTCTGAGGAACCTCCACGTTGTGGGACCCCCCCCGAGAATCCCTCAGGAACACCGGGATGGACTCCAGGAGAATCCGGGAGAATCCAGGAGAATCCAGGAGATGCCAGTGCTCCCCCAGGGCCTGGAGCTCCGGTTGTTGCTATACCTCATCCTTCCCTTCCCCTTGGATCCTTCCCTTTCCCCACTTTTCCCCTTCCTTTAGGACCCAGAGCTTGTGCACTCAGCCACATCCAGGTTTTTTTTGGGGTTTTTTTTGCGTTTTTTTTTTTTTTTTCTGTTGTTGTTGTTGTTTCCCTGTGGAATGAAAAGCAATCCGTGATCGGGGTGGGCAATTCCCAACCCTGCTCCCTTTGGGATCTGAGCCCAAGGGAAGGGATCCTGGGCTTGGGGGGATGATCCCGAGGGATCCTGGGCTCGGGGGGATGATCCCGAGGGGGATCCTGGGCTCGGGGGGATGATCCAGGGGGATCCCTGTTCCCCTTTTCCATCCTCCCTGTCCAGCAGCCCCTCCAGGGCTGCCCTGAGCCCCCCAAAACCCTCCCAGGGGTGGGCAAGGGGCTCGATTCCAAACTCCAGCTCTGCTCTCATCCTGGGAAGGGCACAAATCCTTTTCTAAAATCCCTTGGAAGGTCAGAAATCCCTGTCCAAAGCCCTTGGAGGGACACAAATCCCTTTCCAAAGCCTTTGGAAGGACACAGATCCCTTGGAGGGGCACAAAACTTTTTCCAAATCCTTTTCCAAATCCTTTGGAGGGGCACAAATCCCTCTCCAGATCCTCGTCCAAAGCCCCTGGAAGGACACAGATCCCTTGGAGGGGCACAAAACTTTTTCCAAATCCTTTGGAGGGGCACAAATCCCTCTCCAGATCCTCGTCCAAAGCCCCTGGAAGGGCACAGTTCCCTTGGAGGGGCACAAAACTTTTTCCAAATTTTCCAAATCCTTTGGAAGGGTCCAAATCCCTTTCCAAATCCCTTGGAGGGGCCCAAATCCTTTTCCAAATCCTTTTCCAAAGCCCCTGGAAGGGCACGGATCCCTTGGAGGGGCACAAATCTTTTTCCAAATCCTTTTCCAAAGCTCCTGGAAGGGCACAAATCCCTTTCCAAATCCTTTCCCAGATCCCTTGGAGGGACACGAATCCCTCTCCGTGTCTCCTGGATGGACAGGGAGCCTCTGGAGCAGGCAGGGAAGGTTTCCCTCCCTGGGCAGGACAGGGCTGATCCCATCATTCCCTCCAGGAATCCCAGCTCCCTCTGCCTCAAAAAGGGAATTTTTCTCCTGCCCCAGGGAAAAATCCCAAAGGAATTCCCAATCCCAAGGGCCTCTGGAAGGCCGGGGGGGAGCCCCTGAATGTTCAGAGCACTTTGAAGTTGGTGGCCTTGTTTTCTTAAAGGGCTTTGATCTTTTCATGAAAGGAGAGAATCTTCCCCATCATCATCATCATCATCATCATCATCATCATCATCCTCATCCTCCCCAGCTCGGAATTCATCCCTGGAATGTTCAGGATGATCCAGGACTCTGGAATCTGTCATTAATCCTTCAAGTTTACACCTAAAAAAAAAAAAAAAAGCAGCTCCGGGGGGAAGCAAAGCTGGGAATTTCTCTTGGGATTCGGGCTGGCAGCAGCGGCAGGGAAATAAAAATAAAGGGAAATAAAAATAAAGGGAAATAAAAATAAATGGGATTTTAGGAGTAGGCAAAGTGAAGTTTGGGAATGTTGAACCCAATCCAAAAATTCTGGATTTCCATCTCTCAGCCCAGCTTCCCCCTACAAAGTTTGAGGGGGAATAAAAGGGAATTGTGGAACGGTTTGGGTCCATTAAAAATAAAATAAAAGGGAATAAAAGGGATTAAAGGCAAGGAGATGCTCCCAGAGCTCTGCCAGAAATTCCAAACCCTTGGAAGCCGAGGCTGAAAGGAGGGACTGGGCTGAAAGTGCAAAACCCCAAAAACCCCCTCACGTTTTCCAACCTCCAATCCCCCAAAATCCGCATGGAAAGGGAGCACCAGGAGAGGTGGGGGAAGTGCCAGAGCTTCATTAACCACGAGTTAATTAAGGGGGGGGGAAAGGAGAGCCGGGGGAAGACTTTGCTTGGATATTTTAGGATTTCTGGGAGCTGGGATGGGATCAGTGATTCCCAATTCGTGCTAAACTCGGTTTAATGACAGATTCCTGCCATTCCACAACTCCACCCTCCCCAAAAATCCCCGGGAAGGGGGGACCTGGAGCATCCTTGGAGCCCCAGTCCCACATCCAAGAGAAGGGGATGGGTTTGGGATGGCTGCAGAAAAGTGGGAATATTTCCAAAAAAAAAAAACAAAAAAAAAAAAAAAAAAAAAAACCCGAGCAAATGGAATTTTTTACCTGTGTCCTGTCCCGTTTTTCTATGTGTGTGGTCCTTTCTTAAATGTCAAACTCTTGTATTTTTTTGTGGTTTCTATCTGCGGGACCGACGGATCTGAGGGCGCACGTTGTTTTGTAAAATATTCCTGACATTTTTCCTTCCCCCCCACCTCCAAAAAAAAAAAAAAAAATAAAAAAAAAAAAAAAAGGGGGGGGGGAAGAAAAGCTGAATTATTCACCTTTTAATTGGCTTTGCATGTACAATAATTGGGGCAGCAAGTGGAGATGATTAAAGCCAGCTTGAAAAACTTTGTCCTGTGCTTGAGTCGAGTTTTTCTCAAAAAAAAAAAAAAAAAATTAAAAAAAAAAAATAATAATAATCATCCACAACCCCTCATGGGGATAAAAAATAGGGGATAAATGGGATAAAAATAAAAAGTAGGTTTGATTAGAGGAAATAAATCTGATATTGAATAAAAGATCCCACAAACAACCCCCTGGTTCCCAAATCCTCTCCAGCTTCCCATGAAAAATGGGGAATGGGCAGGAAAAAGGGGAATGGGCAGGGTTGGGTGGGATTTGGGGATTTTTGGGATGAAATTCCTCCCTGTGAGGGTGGGGAGGGGCTGGGCTGGAATTCCCAGGGAAGCTCTGGCTGCTCCATCCCTGGAAGTGTCCAAGGAAATCTGGGATTGGGAAAGGACCAGGGGGGAGGTTTGGAATGGCACCCAAACCACCCTGGAATTCCACAATTCCCCCTTTTCCCCTGCTCCTCCACGCTTTGAAATGAAACCTCGACGAGGTTTTGTTCAACCTGAGTTCGAAAATGAGGGAATTGAAGCTGGAATGGAATCCCTGGATGCCAGGAGCTGCAGGAATTCTGCTCCACCTTCCCCCCATGGCAAAGCTGAGGGGTTTGTATATAAAAGTGTCAGCTCTGGATTCTTCCAGGCCTGGCTGGGCTCCCTCAGCTCCCTGGCATTTGGGACAGAGCCCAAACCAACCAGAGGCTGATTTTTTTTTTTTTTTTTTTGGGGGGGGGATGGATGAAATTCCCTAAATTCCCACACCTGGAGTGACCACCAGCACCAGAGGAGTCCACTGCAATGTTTTATTTGGGAATTTACATATCCACAGGAGAGAGCAGACCACAAGTCCGACTTCTTGCTGAATTTTGAAGCAGTTGTGGGTTCTACTGGAGATGAGAAAAGAAATCTGCCGAAGATTAAAATGTCCCAAGCGAGCCAGGAAAAGGAGGGAAAACCAGGATTTTACACAGGAACAACGACAACGAGAACGAAACGAAACGAAACAAAAAAAAAAGAAAAAAAAAAAGTATAAATTAGGATGTCAGAGTCGTTTTTAAAAGCCTTAAGAAAACTTGCACAGGGCTCTGGGCCCCGGAGAATGAACTCTGCTTAAATTGTTAGAAGTGAAATCTCATCAAATCCCAACACCAAGCCAGAAAATTCGCTCTGCAGTGCAAGTTTTGGGGTTTTTTTTTTTTTTCACATTCCATCGGTTTTTGCCCCCACTCTGGGCGAGATTCCTGCTTGCTCAGGGGGGTGGGACAGGACTTTGGTTCCAAGGAGGGTGGGAGCAGGGAGAGCTCCGCTCAAGGGAGGAGGTAGCAAGGCTGGCTTGCCCCTGGGCTCGGCTTAAATCCAATTCCTCAGCACCAAACGAGGTCCCCCACCCCACCCCCCGACAAAAAAAACAAAAAAAAAAATTAAGAGAAAAAAAAAAAAAAATCTAACACTGGCATTGAAGTGAGAAATCCCAGCTTTGTGGGCAGGATTCAGTCCAGATTTCCCAGTGCCACCTGTGCCCAGGTGCCCAGCAGGGCAGGGAGGGATCCCCTCCCCGTGTGCATTGACTGTGCTCAGTTTGGGGAGCTGCTCCTGGCCTGGCCACCGAGCTGTCCCCGCGGCTGTGACAGTGGAAAAGGCAGAGATGGAGCTCAGGGATGGGAAAAAAAAAAAAAAATAAAAATAAACCCAACAACAACAACAACAACGAAATTCAGGTTGGGGGTTGGTTGGCACCGCCTCACCCCCACACCCCAAACCTGAAAGCAGAACAAAACAAAACAAAAAAATAAAATAAAATAAAATAAAAAAAAAACAAAAATAAAACCCCTGAATGTGTGATGGAGCAAGGTCTGGAGAACAGAACAAAGGCAGAAATGGTCACGAGCAGCGAGGGCTCATTTCCACAGCGGGGAGCTGAGGGAGGAGGGATTGCTGCCCTGGGCTCCTCCTCCTCCTCCTCCTCCTCCTCCTCCTCCTCCTCCTCCTCCCATGGACTGTCCATAGCCCAGCATTCCATTGGCTCCATAGAAATTCATCCCGGCCATCTGCTGGGTCACCTGCAAAAGAGGCAGGAGAGACAGGTCAGGGATGGGCCTGGACGCTGCTCACGGATCCCAAAAAAATTGCAGAGCCCTAAAAGGGGGGCAGGGCGTGGCTCCCCCCAACGTGGGAGGACTTGGGGGCAGGATGAAATCAGGAATTTCAGGAATATCAGCAGGAATTTCTGCATGGAAAAGGGTGGCCAGGCCATGGAATTGCCCAGGGAAATTTGGAATCCCCACCCTGGAGGTGTCCATGGGCTCAGTGTTCTGGGATTGGAGTCTGAATTCGTTCCCAACCCCTCCCCAATCCTGGGATTCTCAGGGATCCTGCAATTCCTGGCTGCTCCCAGGCAAATCCAGTTTAAACCCCCCCC